CGGAGTGCTAGGCTCGGGCTGCAGCCACCGCTGCCTTTGTCTTAGAGGCGCGGAGGGGGCTCCAGCCTCGACCTCTCCCGGGCCTGTAAGAACCTCGCGTCCCCCTATCTCTTTCTCCAGCGACGCCCTGCCCTCACCACCCCAGACATCCTTCCCCGCGCTCCTTTCCCGTCCCCAACCCGGCTTGGCGAAACCTCCCAGTGCCAGAGAAAAATAAATCCGCTTCGGAAGCTGAGATTTCAGACAAAAGCTGCCCATACCTACAACTCGGAGGCTCCAACCAGCCACTGTTTTTTTGTTTTGTTTTTAACTTTAACACCTATGGCCTGAGCTTTAATTCTCCCCCCCCCCTTTATTCTCCCGCTCTAAGCTTCTCCCTTATGATTATATTTAGTGGCGTTATTTTCGTATTTATATTTCTGTCCGCTGGGCTCTGATCTGCCGAAATGGCTCAGCCGCAGCAGCTCGACCAGCGGCTGGAAACCTCACATCCACAAGCAGGGTTCGCAGCTCGCTCGGCTCGGAGAGGATTCTTCCCCCTCCCTCCAGCTGAAACCTCGCAGAAAACTCCCCCTGCGGTCGACTGGAAAATGAGCTCACCCAAATCTCGGTAGGCAGCCGTGGAGGAGTGCTCGGCCAATCAGGAGGCGCCCCCGCCCAGGCAGCCGCGCATTGGCTGCGGGGAAAATCAATTATCAAATAATCGATCAGCAGGGAGCTTCGATCTGCGGGGAATGCAAACTGCCAGTCCCTATTCCCGCCCTGAAGGTGGCCAAAAGGCTGACTCCCTCCAAGCAGCCCGCCCGCGCCCGCATCGCCCCCACCCACTCACGTCCCACTCGCCAGCTGCGGACTGAACCCTCACCCCCGCGGGGTTGTAGGTAGGGGGAAGAGTTTTGAGAAAGATTGGGGGTATCCCTTCATCCGGAGATTGTTTAGGAAAGGTTAGGACCTCCAAAATGTATTGAAGCCAACTCTTAAGCGCAAAGTAAAACAGAATTTGCGCCTGTCTGCGAGGTAGGACTGAAGTTTCTATAGAGTGGGCTTCCAAGGAGCAGGGGACACAGGGCGAGCATCAGAACACAGGTCTGGAATGAAGTTCCACCGAGCGTCCGTAGTCTCCCTAGGCGACATCTATCGCTTCCTTTAGTCTTTGCAGGAGTCAACGCGGGGTTGGTTGCCCCCAACAGTGGAGCGTTTCCATAAAGCCGAGCAGATGAGCCTTCCCAGCCTCCTACACTGCACCCTTCCCCGCCCCCAACTCCGTACTGGCACCTTGTGTGCCTGAAAGGCTGACACACGTTCTCCCAAAACCTTCAGAAGCGCTTTGCCTTGAAAGAGGGGTGTGTGTGTGTGTGTGTGTGTGTTTAAACCATCTCCAGGATCCCTTATCATTTGCTTCCTCTTTTTTCTTTCTCTCTGTTTCTCCTCCTTTTTTCTGACGCTTAAGTTTCAGGATCTTTTAGTTTTTTCCATCACATACATGTGTAGGTTTTCTGGCACAAACGCCCTAAAACATCACTTGGGAGGTTAAGACAGGCCCGCGAATAAAAGCTCGGGACAGAGGAGGGTGGGCAGCCAGGTACACTACCAGCGCCTTTATGCCCCTGCCTGCACTTTCCGGCCTCCCCCGACCGCCCCCCCCGGCACACCCCCCGCCCCCCGGTCCCACAACATGAACTTGGAAGCAGAATTTCAGGCCAAGGTGGAACCTCCCCGTCTCAGGAAGGCGATTTCTGTTCAATCCTTGGGAGGCTGCGCTGGCTAGGCCAGGCAGCACGCTCCTTTTCCGCTTAGGGAGAGGACTAAGCTGGGCTGGCTGTCTGCGACCCCTTCCCGGAATCCCAACCGACTTCGGCAGATACCTGAGCGCCTTCCGACGGCTGCTCGCGGGGGTGTGATCCTAGTCCCCGCAGTAGGTCCGCCAGGCATCTGCGCGACTCGGGAGTAGGAGGGAGAAGCGTGGGTAGGAGGTGGGGGTCAAACCAAACACCGACAGGACACATCTACGTTTACGATCCTTAAATGAACTGCGAGGGAAATTGTGTAAGTATAATTTAACTGAGAGAAATTTACTGCGAAATATACTTAGAGGACTGTAGTCTTTAACAGCCTCAGGGGTTCTTCGGCAAAGAGGTAACGGGGCTTGGAGTTACCACAACTCTGCGGCCACGTTTTCAAATTTGGAAAAGGTCAGTATATACGTGTATATTTGACAACAGGATTTATTTTGTATTGTTGCTTTCCAGTAATCTTTTTCTTTTGTTTTCTAGCACTGATGAAAAAAGAAGGTTCAGGTAAGTCACCCTATGCAAACATAACCAAAATCTTCAAAGTAGGAGGAAGACTAGACTACTGCATGCTTTAACCATGATGTGCCAGATAACCATAAAAATGTACTTTAAATAACCTACACACAAATTTTCCTTAAAGAATGAGATAGTTTGAGTTTGTGGACTTAAAATCAACTCAGTAGTTTTGAAAAGTGCCCACCCCCCACCAACACACACACACACAGTCTTTCCATTTTTAACTGTGAACCTAATATAACTTCTAGGCCTTTATACAATTAATTCTGAACAATCAAGGGACTAAACACTTTTACAATGTAATTACAGTAGTACAAATTGTTTGCCCAAACCTCATTCTGGATAAGGATTTTACAATTAGCAAACAGTTATTACAGTTGGGGCTTGCTGAGAGAAATAGCACAGAGGATGTCTAGAGTTGCAATATAGTAGCCATAAAAAAGAAAAAAAAAAAAAACTCCTTTAGCAGGGCAGCAATTAATCATCTATTAAAAGGAAAAAAATGGAGGGACAGGTCTAGGTATCTTAGTAAACTACTCTCGATATTTGTGCCCATTTTGTGACAGCACCTATTCCTAACTTATTTCAGATAGTTGCTTTTTTAAGGCAATAGCACTTTTATTTTGCGAAAACTTGGCCTGGTGAAAAATTCTGACACTTGGCCCTAGCTCTTGCGATTCAGGCCTTCCATTCTTTTCTCATCCTTCTTATCTCGGAGCATCTTTCCAGAGATAGAGAACGGTGACAAAAGGAGGCAGATTGGGCCCTTAGTCTCCATTGTTTACACCCTCCTATATGGAGGCATTTCAAGCCCTCAGTGCTCCTCTGAGCTGCTGCTAAAGTCGTCTCGGAGAACTCCCCGGACTTTATGTTCTATAAGGAATTGTGCCTCTGGAAAGACCTATATCCTAAATTAGGCTTTTGTCCCAAAACGTCACACTGATGAGTCAGCTC